TGGTAGCCCAGGCTGGCCTCGAACTCACAGAGATCTGCCTGGCTCTGCCTCCCGAGTGCTGGGATTAAAGGCGTGCGCCACCACCACCCGGCAATATGGGCATTCTTTACATTTTTACAAATACTTTATTGCATTTCTTTTTTAAGTTGGGCAATCTTGTTCCAAATACCTGAAAAAAAAATGTATGTCTTAGTCAGTCTTCTATTGCTGTGAAGAGATACCATGACCATGGCAATTCTTTTAAAGGAAAACATTTAATTAGGGTTTGCTTAAGGTTTTAGAGGTCCATTATCAGAATGGTGGGAAGCATAGTAGCATATAGACAGACATGATGCTGGAGGAGCTGAGAGTTCTCTATCCAGATCCCCAGGCAGCAGGAAGAGAGAGCCACTGGGCCCAGCTTAGGCTTTTGAAAACTCAAAGCCCACATCCAGTGACACACTTCCTCCAACAAGGCCACACCTTCTATTCCCTGTCTAGTAGTGCCCCTCCCTAACAACCAAGCACCAAGCAAACACACACACACACACACACACTTCCACATATATGGAATAGCTTTCTCTGCTATTTTAAAATCTGTACTAAATGATGCCAGGACTTTCCTAATTTGATTTCTCACTATTTTAATATTTTACCTGGCACTGCATTTTTTCATATGCTGTATTTTTCTTTCATGGATTAGGTATGTTCTGATTCATTCTGGTTTTGATCGTTATATCCTATTCAATTTGTGACCTATTCAGTTGTCCGTATCAGACTGTTAAGTATGAGTCTCATTCCCTATTTCAGTCCATTTTGCACTTACTCTCCATTTCATCTCATTCTACTTTCTATTTCAGACCCACTTGCCATTCCCCCTTATTTAACACACCAAATACCAGTCTAGTCTATTTTTATATTCCAGTCCAGTTGCTCATCCATTCTGTTAAGTGTCCCATTTGCTTCTGCTAAAATTATAAATGTGCACAGGCTTATACCAAGAATGTCTTCCTCTGAGAAGTAATCCACAATAAAGACACATTTGACTGGGCAATCTTTAATGAGCACACTAATGTGTGTCTCACATTGATGTGAAAAAATAGAAAGAGCATAACTATTGGTCAGTACAAGAATGTTTGAAAACATATGTTTCCTCCCCAAAAGGAGGGTGTTTTAGTTGCAAAACGGTTTTGTGGGTACTTTGTTGTTTTGAGATAGGGTCTCAGCTTGCAGCCCAGGGTGACCTTCGGATTGAAATCCTGCTCTCACCCTTCCCTAGTGCCACAATCACAGGTGTGAGATACCACACCTGTCTCCTTCTCAGTATGTATTCATTGACATGAAAAAATGGATTTTCTGGACCCCTCCAAACAAGTTACAAAATAGTACTTCTGCTTGAATCATTCTATTTTCCTAAAACTAGGAAACATGGATGGATGGCCATTTTATGAAGATATAATTTAACTTTCCCAGTATTTGACTGTAGGCATGAGAAAATTTAGTTGCAGGGTTTTTTTTTTGTTATTTTTTATTTTGTTTTTTTTCAAGACAGGGTTCCTTTGTATAACCCTGGCTGCCCTGGAACTAGCTCTGTAGACCAGGCTGGCCTTGAACTCACAGAGATCTGCCTGCCTCTGCCTCCTGAGTGTTAGGATTAAAGGCTTTCGCCTGGTTGCTGATTTTGGTGGATTTGCTTTTCTGTTTGAGGATACCCAAAACAACAGCACCCCCCTTTTTTTAATAATTAAAAATGTGTGTAAGTATTAAATTTAAAAGGTCTGTGCCGACAGTAAAGTAGAAAAAAAAAACACAGAAGATGAGCCCGAGTCAATTAATTCATCAGCTGAATCTTAAGCAGCCTGGCCTGTGTTTCAGGGCAAGACTGGGGGGAAAGTGGCGTACTGGAAAATTGTAAAGCCAGTCTGGTGTTTGGGACCTGACATACCTTGCTGAACATTTCAAATCCAAGACAATGTGGACCTCATGATCCCCCTTGAAATCCTTAGGCCCCTGAGCCAACTTAAAACCCTAGCCAGGTCACCTGGTGCCTTAAAGGAAAGCAGTAGAGTCACGCGTGGCCCAGGAGATAGAGCTTATCGGTCAGTGTGTAGTAAATTGTTAAAGTGATCCCAAGACCGACTCACAAGTGATGAGCACACTCGTTTGAGGTGTTGCACATAATTCATGTCGATGTTCCCACCCCAAGCATTCTCAGGCTAGGGCGGAGGGCTTGTGAAATTTCGACTTTTGACTTCCTGAAAGCGTGGTTGGGGGAAGTGGGGCTAAGAGCACACCAGAAACCACTAGAAGCTACCCTGACCTCCCAGTGTCCTAGTCGGGGCCAGGTGAAGGGCGGTTCAGCCCAAGTAAAATTTGCATTATTTGCAGCCGGCCAATCCGAGGCTAGAATTGAGCTAGCTCCACCCACTGGCCTCCTCTCTCAGCTCTAACTCTACCTAGTTTCCTAGCTAGCTGAGCAGCAGCCTTCTTTCTGATTGAGTGGGGCAGGAGGCTTGAAGCCCTTTGCCGTGGCCAGAAGCTGGTAAGCCCATCGATTTGGCCACCTCTAGTCACCCTCAGCGAAAGAGCGGAGGCACCACTTGGCCTACGTGTCAGGGTAGCCGAGGCCACCCAGGAACACCTGGGAGTCCTGCAGCAAAGAGCCTGTTGCCTCAGGGCCTGCGCTGGTGACTCAGTGACGGACAACACTCTCTTCAGCCTCGCTGCCGTCTTCAGCCTCGCTGCCGAAATGTCGACTGGTAGGAATCCGGGGACACCTCGTGGGCCTGAGAATCAGCGCGGCAACCTCCAGGGTGCCTGCGACCCTGACAGTCCAAGGATAGAAGTTGGACCTTCCAGGCCCAGGACCAGGAGCCAAGGAAGGCTGGACCCGTCCTCGGAAGGAGCCGCCACCTCCAGCAGGAACCAGCGGCAGAGCAGTCGGGGTGAGCCGTCCCGGGGTGAGCAGTCCAGCCGAGATCTACCTACAGGTGAGCTTCAGCTTCTGGAAGTTACAGAGTGGCCTTCTACGTCTCAGCCATCCTATTTTCTGACCTCTCACCATTCTGAGCCTCCTTTACAGAGCCAGGAATTCTTCCTGGAATTCCTCGGCCCTGCCCTCAGGAGCACGGCCACCATGTCACATCATGTGGCTACTCCGGCGCCTAGGCCCCGCAGCCAAGCTTTTCTGCCTGTCTCCGGTCATCACTGGACTGATATGATAGAGTTCGGCTTTGATAGCAGCGGCCCCTTCGTTCCTGTTGGCCAGGGTTTCCTTGAGCAGGCCACTGTGCAGGTTCCTGATGTCTGTGTATTTTTCACCCCTAATCTCATAGGCGACATTGGAGGCAGGGTTCTCCGCTCACATGCCACTGCATCTGGTCATCGCAGCGGTGCCTTGGAGGTTAACCCTGAAGTTTGCCTCGCCGACCAGCCGAGAGGCCGGAGTTTACGCCGTCGGGCCACTTCACCGGATTCTGCTGTTGACAGCACTGCCATGGAGAACGTTCCTGATACCAGGAGCACCCCTGCGACACCACACAGAGGCCGCAGCGCGTCCAGGTCCAGCCGCGGCGCGTCCGGGTCCAGCCGTGGTGCGTCCGGATCCAGCCGTGGTGCGTCCGGGTCCAGCCGTGGTGCGTCCGGGTCCAGCGGCGTCCAGACACAGGCACGAGCAAACCCTTCCACCTCTGGGAATGTATTTCTGAAGAGAACCCTCCCGGCGACCTCGAGCTCTCCTTTTAGGCGCCCAGTCCGTATGCGGGCCTCTTCCCCTTCCCCTCCTCGTACGCCATATCCTCCCTGTAGTCAGCATAATGAAAGTTCCGACTCTTCCTCCTCCTCCTTATTGTCTCTTGATTCATCCAGTGATTCGAGTGCCCCCTCTTCCCCAAGCAAGTAGGTCACTTGACCGAAACGCCTGCTCCTGTCCATTTATTACCATGAGCTCTACCTCTGTGCCTAGCCACGGTACCCTTGGATGTGCCTTGATCCCTGACCTGGATAACCTGGATTCTTCCACTTTTGGGGAGTTACAGGAAAAAGCAAAGGATCCCCTTCACTCTCTCTCCATAGGAGGAAGTAGGGCATGCCCCTCATTCCCCTACTCCACTGGTGCTGTGACTCTTGTTGAGTGTCTTCCCAGACTCACAAAAGGAATCCGCACCTGGCCACTGTTTTCTGTGTGAGGTTTCTAGGATGTCTCCCTATTCACCATTATCCAGAGCAGTTTTGAAGCCCCCTGGGCCCGGCTAACCAGCACTTAATAAGCCACTTCATTCAATTCCATGCTTCCCTAGCCCGGTTTTTGTTGTTGTTGGGGTTTCTTTCTTTTTTTTGCTTCTCAGAGTTTTGCCTTCCACATTGCTTTATGTAATTAAACATTTTAATAAAAGTATTAAGTTTTATTTTAAAAATTTAGTCTCTTTATTGTGGTGCAATTACTTTTAGGATTTCATACCTGGAGGATTAAGGAGTATCATCATGCTAGCTGACTGTTTGGAAGGAATGAGGGATAAAATACTGACCTAGAACTGTCTGAGATGGAGCTCTGTCCCAAACGTTACTACTTAAGGCCATTTGTATAGCTTTTTAGCATAGGTGATTTATAACTTGGGAAAGGAAAAAAAACTATGAAGAGTCCGAAAAAGGCAGAGTGGGCATGATCTCAAGTGGGGAGGGAAAAATGGGAAGTGGGGGCTGGGAAGAAGACTGATAAGGAGGAAAGAATAGCTGGGGTCCAGTCCAGTGCTTGAGGATAAGGGGACTCAATTTTGATAGTAGAATAGGGTTTATGTGTTAGAAGTTGGTAGGGAGAGGAGAAAAAGAGGGGCGGACCTTCTGAAGGCTCAGATGAGACTTGGTCATAGATGGGCAATGTAAGGTTAATGAGATGCATGTGTGCTGTGGATGGCGCTATATGTAAATAGACCCTGAGTGGCCAACAGCCTGACCGGAAGTATAGGCGGGACTAATAGGAGAATGGAGAAAGGAAGGAGAGGGGAGACCGCCTGGAGCACCCGCCGCCAGGACAAGAAAGATGTAAAGTACCGGTAAGCCACGAGCCACGTGGCAAAGTAAAGATTAATAGAAATGGGCTAAATATAAAAGTAAGAGCTAGACAATGATAGGCCTGAGCTATTGGCCAAGCAGTTTAAATAATGTAAGAATCTGTGTGTTTATAAGTGGGCTCTGGGACTGGCAGGACTTGGTGGCAGGAGCAACACACGTGGCATGGTTTTCATCAAATATTTGAATGTGTGTTGATGAAAAATCAATTGTGAAAAATGTTTGTACATCCGAGACGCAGACATTGGGAGAGAAATGCATGAATAGTGTGCTTCCTAAATAACTGGGATGATACGGTTTTCAGTGTTTTACATTTTTCACTTTGACCATATAACTACTGTAATAGAAATGAGCAGTTCAAAAATTAAGCTGGAAGCAAGAAAGAGATGAGAGAGTTAAAAATGTAAATGAGGTCAGGAAAATACCTTCTCTCATTTCTCCTCTTTTTCTGGTTATAATGACCAATATGACCATAGACCCTCACTTAGTGCTGCCCCTTCATATTTTAACAAGTATTTTTTTTTGAAACAGGGCTTCTCTGTATAGCCTTGGCTGTCCTAGAACTTGTTCTGTAGGAACTCAGAGACCCACCTGCCTCTGCCTTCTGAGTGCTGGGATTAAAGGTGAAATTAAAGGCATGAGCCACTACAGCCTGGCTGAACGTAATTCTTAAGAAGCCCTATTAATGCTTACGATCTGGCGTTTCGACAGGATAACCCACAGACAGCTGATCTGAGTTCATGGGAGCTCACCAACTGTGGACTGACTGCTAGGGAGCCTGCCTGGGACCGACCTAGGCCTTTTGCATGTGTGTGACAGTTGTGTAGCGTGGTCTGTTTGTGGGGTTTCTAGCAGTGGGATGAGGACCTGTCCCTGGCGCTTGAGCTGGCTTTGGGGAACCTATTCTCCATGCTGGGTTGCATCGCCGAGCCTTGATGCAGCGGGGAGGAGCTTGGTCCTGCCTCAGCCTGGTTTGCTGTGCTTTGTGGACGCCCATGGGAGGCCTTACCTTTCTGAATTGAGACAGAGGAGTGGATGGGGACAGGTATGTGGGAGGGGAATGGAACCGGAGGAGAGGAGGGAGGAGAAACTGGGGTCGGTACGTAAAATAAACGAAAAAAATTCAAAAAAAATCGGACATTTCACAAGAACAAGAAGTGTCCACTATGTCCTAATAACCCTGCCACTTTTGAAGAAAAAGTTTAAGTTCCCTAAGGTATTATAAATATGCATGCAGTGCGGGCGGGCGGGCGCATGCGCGCGCGCATACACACACACACACACACACACACACACACACACACACACACACACACACTTTCAGGCCCCAAAATTAGTCATGAGGATAGCTGTGGTCACAAAGGGTAGAAAAGCCTTTAATATACAAGCTGAGGCTTTCTCAGGCTTAGGTGTGAGACATCTCATGGAAATTGTAAACGTGGGTTAGGACACTTATTTGTACTTTGGTTCTATAGACTAAAAGGATTAGTGAATTGCCTGTGTGTATAAAATTTTTGTAGCTTCAAACCAAGAGATTTAGAGACAACCGTGTATGTGTGTGTGTGTGTGTGTGTGTGTGTGTGTGTGTGTGTGTATCTGTATGTATATCATTGGTCTTAACCACCAGCAATACCACACACACACATCAATGGCCTTGGCCATGTAATATCTCCTTATTCCCTGGATTTAGAGAAAGCAATACTTTAGGTGGTAGAGACTAGGTTTCTTCCTGGAATGAGACATCATTGTGGGGTCAGAGATGTCAGCCACCTTACAACAGACTCGTACTTTAGTCTATCTCCTGAGTTTTCTATCTGCATGGGAATAGACCCACCCTAGCTAGCCACCGTCTCACTCAAACAGCACAACAATCTGTTTAACCTCTTTTGACTACAAGCTCTTCTCCTAACCCTTGGCGCTTACCGCATTCCCTCTTTTTTAAAATGCCAAGTACTAACGCAAAGCAGGTCTCCATACTGCACATGCAGTGGCAGCTTCGTGGACTTAAGCTGTGGGCAGCATTTGACCCTATTGACCTCTCCTCGATTCTTTTTTCTTAGTGTTCACTCTACATTCGACCTCACATTTCTCCCTCTCCACACTCAGGTGTTTGAAGGCCCCCCCCCCCAGCCCTCTCTCACATATATTTAAAGACAGTATGTCTCCTATCTTTAAATACTTAAAAAAATCTGGCCAATCTCAATATTGGCTAGCCACTCCCAGCATCCCCCTGCTTTCCAGTCACCTATATACAGCTGCCTAATTGGCTTCTTCACTTGAAATATTTAATAGGTGCCCAAAACTTCATTAACATGGAATACCGTATAAAAGAAACATGCTATTCACACATGGAAATTAAAATTTTCGGTGGTCAAATCTTAAAAAACATTGTTCGTATTAACTATTTCACTACATATATAAAGCATCATTTTAGCATGGACTCACTATGAAATTGTTTCTGATATATTTCATCCTCGTTTTTTTCACAAGCCTCTTTGAAATGCAGTTTGTGATTTTTTCACTGCCAGCACATCTCAATTCTGACTAGCCACATTTGGAGTAATGGAGTCCACCTGTGTGGACAGGGCGGGCTGGGACCTTAGCGTTTCCATAGTTTCTCATTTGTTCCTTGGTTGGCTGTGATTGCCCCATCATCAGTTTCTCTTCATTGTTAACCTTTCCTCTAGAAATAAGTTTGGGGGTACGGATTTTGAGAAGTCAGCTGTGCTCTGTTATTCCGGCACCTTTAGTGTTCCTTGAACTCAAAGCCTTTCTAGATTCAGCTGTTATGGCCAATGAGCAGGCTAAGTAGGTGGGTCTCTCCTTATCCATTTAGACGCTCTTCCTCTACAGATGCCCCTCAGTACCCACAGGTAATTGAATCCAGGAACCCCGTTGGCTGTAGATGCTCAAGTAACTTTAACAAATGGGACAGTAACCAATCACTATGGCATACGCTTGTAGTCTTGGCTACTAAACAGGAAGCTAAGATGGATTGCTTGAACCCAGGAATTTGAGGTCAGCTTGGGCAACAGGAGACCACAATCCTAAAAGATGGAAAGAACATACGAGATTTATATTAAACCTATGTATGTCCCCCATACTTTAACTATTCTCTAGGTTATTTAAAATACTAAATTCAATGATAAGATGTTAACATTGTTTTGTGAATAATACATTTCTCCTCTTAAGTGTTTGCCATATGCAGTTGGTTGGATCTGTGAATGCAGAACTCACAGGCACAGAGAGCTGACAATTTATCCTTCCCGCCATCATAGATACTGCTACCATACACATAATGTGATGGGTGTTGGTTTTTTCATATCCACCTGAATTTTTAGGTATTGGATGGTATCTTACAACCTAGATGTGTTGAAAATAGCTGTGTCCTGGTTTTTTTTTTTTTTTTGTCAGCTTGACACATGCTAGAATCACGTGAGAAGAGGTGACACAATTGAGAAAATGCCTCCATCAGATTGGTCTCTGGCAAGCCTGGAGGGCATTTTCACACTGTTAACGATCCATGTGAGAGGGCCCAGCTCTCAGGAAGCAAGCAGTGGGTGTGGTGTGGAGGTGGACCAGCCCTCAGCAGAGGATCCTGGGATGTCTAAGAAAAGAGGCTGAGCAAGTCATAAGAAGCAAGCCAGTAAGCAGGTTGCTTCATGGATTCTGCTTCAGTTTCTGCCTCCACTTCCTTTGCTGATGGATTTGTGATGTGGAAATGTAAACTAAATAAACCCATTCTTCTCCAAGTTGCTTCTGCTCATGATGTTTTATTACATCAATAGAAAGCCCCCCCCCGCCAGTTGCCTGTGGTCATGGTTTTTATCACAGCAATAGAAAGCCTAACTAAGATAACATACGTTATGTTTTTGTTCTCTATAGTTGTTTTTATGTGGGTTTGGGATGTGAGGAAAAAAATGTAGAACCACTAACTGTCACCAATCTCTCCTAATCTCTACTACCCAATGTTCTTAATCCTTGAATAATGTGCTTGATGATAACATTGTATAGAGTCAGATGGTTTATATTTCTAGAAAGAACACATGGAATTCATTATCTTCACTATTCTTCAAATATAAAGTAGAGAAAAGATTGAAATTTACTGAAGAGAAAGGAGGAGGAGCAGATTGGGGAAAGGGAAGTGGGGGAGGGACTGAGAGGAGAGGAGGGAGGGAGGGAGGGGAAAATGTAATCGGGCTGGGGAAAAATAATTAATTAATTAATTAAAGTATTTCAACTTAAACATGAAAATAAAAATCCACTAGATATATGTGCCACAAAATCT